CACACCATAATCCCCCCTCCCTCAAACTTTAAACTTGGCACAATGCAGTCAGGCAAGTACCGTTTGTCTGGCAACTGCCAAACCCAGACACGTCAATTGGATTGCCAGACAGAGAAGCGCGATTCGTCACTCCAGAGAACACGTCTCCACTTCTCTAGAGTCCAGTGGCGGCGTGCTTTACACCACCGCGTCCAATGCTTTGCATTGCACTTGGTGATGTAAAAGCTTGGATGCAGCTGCCCATGCAGGAAACCCATTCCATGAAGCTCTCTACGCACTGTTGTTGTGCCAATCTGAAGGACACATGAGGTTTGGAGGTCTGTAGGTATTGACTCTGCAGATAGTTGGCGACTTCTGTGCACTTCAGCATGCGCTGACCAGGCTCTGTCATTTTTCGTGGCTGAGTTGCTGTTGTTCCCAGTTGCTTCCACTTTGTTATAAACACTAAAGCTGGCCATACACCTTACAACCATCACACAACTTTCGTTGTGCGATGGTTATAAGATAATTCAAACCTTGTACGATCTGCCCATCTTGGACAGTCAGATCGTACTTGCGATCATCGCAAGCTCTCCCCACTAAGGGGAGGGCTTCCGATGATTCCAATGCTGAGCGGGCAGTGTGCGCTTGCTTTTGGCAGGTTTTCAAGTGTGCTCGGAAGACAAAATAGAAGTCACCAGCACTCGATAGGTGCAAGAAGTAAAGCACTTTTTATTCAATCGTCACATGTGTCAAACAGCCAACATTTAGGGGCCACGCAGGGTCCCTTATTCTGGGCGACATAGTATCTGACACGGCACCATCCGTGTTGTCACTTCAAGCACCAACCTCTTACTCAAGGTCTGTATGCTGCATGGAGTGCAGGTGATTTCGTATTATCACTCGGAAGACAAAAGACGGACGACCATACAGTAGAAACGGTCGCACGCCTTCCATACACCTGCCGATTATCGTACGATCACAGGATCACCCGCGATTATCGTACAATAAATCGGCAGGTGTATGGGCACCTTAACAGTTGACCATGGAATATTTAGTAGCAAGGAAATTTCATGGAACACCTGAATCCAATGATTTGGAGTGGTGTCCCAATACTTTTGGCAATATAGTGCATGTAAGATGCAACAGAAAAAGATATGTACCACACAGCACAGCATGCAGAGTATGGTCAGGAGTATGTAACGTACACTGTACCTTACATAACCCTGACTGCTGCAATCTATACGCTGTGTTATACCCCTATATACATTATATAATCCTGGCCCCTGCACTTTTTACACTAGGCTGTGAATTACATACTCTGTCAGCTGTGCTTTACATACTCTTGAACTCTGTATGCTGCTGTGTACTTTGCACACACCTGACTGCTGAATTTCCATTCATGTAATGTATAACCATCGGTACAGACTGCAGTGGTCAGAAATATGTACCATACTCAGCATACAGGAGTGGGTAACATACCCAGCATACAGAGTGGTAAAGAGCATGTAATGTACAACCAAACATACAGTGCAGAATTCAGGAGTACAATTCAGAGGCCATTCTTATGTAACAAATGACAGCGTAACAAAGCGCAGCGAACATATGGCAGCATAACAAAGCGCAGCACACAGAGTATGGCAGTCTGGATAATAATCCTGCACTCTGTATGCTGCGCCACACATTACATACTTTTACAATCCGATTTCTTTTTCATGTTTTGCTGTTCCCCAGAAAATGTCCTCCTTCTCTTTCCCCCCTCCTTAAAGTAACCCCCTGTCAAGAAGTCCTTCGAGAAGCCTTTGCCAGTGAAGCCACGCAAGAGTCTGCGCATACGCACGGTATGGCCCACAGAGCCAGGCCTGGGCGTGCGCCTCTGCATAGAAGAGCCAGGCCTGAGTGATCATCAGCGGTTTGCTACCAAGATCCTGTATTCTGACCAGTGATTCCAGTTTGGAACCCAGCTCGTCAGCCATTCTTCTCATCTTCTGTGAGATGGCTTGTTCCTGACTCCGCTCTTTGTCTGCTGTTCCTGTACTGCATTGTCTTCACGGCTCGGACCCTGGCCTGTCCCTCGACTAGGATTCTGTCTGCTGTCTGGTACCTCATTGCCCGCATGGCTTTGACTTGGTTTTCACCCGACCTTGATCCTGCCTACACTGCATTCCAGACATGTATCTCCTGCGTTGCTTTCTTCCTGAAGATGGTCATTAGGACCAGCACTTCAGCCTGCAGTTTTCCGGCACCTGTGCCCCTCTCTGCCCCGACTCTCCGGTTCTGCCACTCAGGGGTTTTGGGACCGAAGTTGCAAGAGAGGCCTCCTTGAACACTTAAGGCTCTGAAAGGTACCAGCCACCCCCCTCCTAAAGAAAAACATCCAATGCTCATCTCTGCACCCCTTTTTCACCACCTAACTTTGCGACCCCCTCCTCAACCCAGTTCACCTCTGTTTGTATTTCAATGCTTTGATTAACTGCAGCTCCACCTGTCAGATCTGTGTAACACAGATCCAAGAGGGAGTTTTGGAGCACTTCCCCTGCCTCTGTGCTAGAGAGGTTTGGCAACTCAGTGGCCTCTGTCCACAGCTCACTTCTGTGCACTCCATCCACAGTTCACCTTTGTGCCCTCTGTCCACACATCACCTCAGTGCTGCTACTCCCTTTCCGCCCACAGCTCGCCTTTACCCCCCTAGTCAACAGCTAACCTTTGCCCCCTGCATCCACGGTTCACCTCTATGCCTTCCCACCATTGGACTGCCGTCTTTTCCACAGCTCACCTCTGTGCCCCCCTTCACAGCTCATATCTGCCCCTCCTTTTTACATAGTTGTTACGGTTGAATAAAGATACAGGTCCATCGAGTTCAACCTTTGGTTTTGTGTGCATGTGTTTGTTACCAAGATAACCTGTACCCCTGTATATCTTGTGCGCTGAGAAAAGTATCTAGATAGTTCTCAAATGATTCCATACTCTGAGCTGATACCACTGTCTTTGGAAGGGAGTTCCACAATTTTACAGCTCTCACAGTAAAGAATCCCCTTCACTGTTTAAGATTAACCCATTTCTCTGCCAGTTTCAGGTGGTGGCCTCTTGTCTTATTGACTGAACTGACAGTAAACAGTTTATTACGGATTATCCCATCACCATTAAACAATTTGAAGATTAATATCATGTCCCCTCTTTTCAAGAGTGAACACGTTTAATGCATGCAGTCTTTCCTCAAAGTTTAGGTCCTTTGGACTTCCTTTCTGTGGATAGGTGACCAAAACTGATTGAGCACACTCAATCCACACCTCTTGCCTTTGGAGCATTACTCTGGGCTCTGTCTCTGTGCTACACAATTCTGACAGGTGTGTGGACTAGCAGGTGGGGACAGAAGCAACCAGTATGGCCACATTAGGTGGTCATCTGATGATGTCAGCACAAATCGAGTGGGGAAAATGTTAAGGGAACTGGATGAACCAAGTCTGCAAAAGATAAAGAAGTATTGCATTCATTTTAAGTACAATACACCTTCCAAACCATGAAAAGGCTAGGTGTTTCCGATGCTGCATATCAGATCATGGAGTACGAGTGAGCAAGTTAAAGTTCAGTTCAAATATTTTATTGAGGTCTGCCATAATCTGAGTGCCAAGGTATTGAATACCCATTTATATGTGAAGTTAGGGCAAAGAGTGCAAATTATTATCACATTAGATATTCAGTGCCTCAGATTTTTGCAAGTGGAGCCCCGGGCAATACAAAATTATGGGGCCCCCTTATGCTCCGCCCATATCCAAGTCCCACTGCATATACATTCTTGCACCCCCTGCATCCCTTCTACACTGCCCACCTCTGCACCCCCTGCATCCCTCTTGCAATACTGCTCACCTCTGCACCACCAGCATCCCTCTTCCTACACCTCTCACCTCTGCATCCCTCTTCCTACACTGCTCACCCCTGCACCCCCTGCATGCCTCTTCCTACACTGCTCACTTCTGCACCCCCTACATCCCTCTTCCTACACTGCTCACCTCTGCACCCCCTGCATCCCACTTCCTACACTGCTAACCTCTGCACCCACTGCATCCCTCTTCCTACACTGCTTACCTCTGCACCCCCTGCATCCCTCTTCCTACACTGCTTACCTCTGCACCCCCTGCATCCCTCTTCCTACACTGCTCACCTTTGTACCCCTGCATCCCTTTTCTAATGCTTCTCACATCTGCACCCTTCCTCCTACGCTGCTTGGCAGGGGTGCAGAGGTGAACACTAAGAAGAGGGATGCAGAGGGTACAGAAGTTTGATGTCTGCCACCCTCTTCCAACACTGTTAACTTCCACACCCTCTACATCCCTCCACTACTGACCCCCTCCCCTACTCTTTAAGCTATCATCCTTTGCAGGTTACCTAATGGTGCCAGGGGTGGATACTAATGTGCTAAGAGTTACTGGGTCTTACAGCAGCTGATCAGCACAGCCCAGGCAGCAGACGGGACCCTGATACGTCTGCCCAGCAGACAGTCCTGCCCACTCACCATGGTAATAAGCTGATTGACAGGCTCCTCTCCTCCATAGGAATGCAAAGAAGCCCGGTCGCTGTAGGGAAGGAGCCTGCCAAATTAACTGGTTACCATTGCAATTGGGCGGGGCCATCTTCCTTTGTTACAGGGAGCCCTACTGGGTTTGGGAACCCCCTGCTGACTTGATGGGGCCCCTCTCAGTACAGGAGCGCGCCTGTACCCCCATTAGCTGTGCTGGCCACGGGCCCCCTCCTGGCAACGGGCCCTTGGGTAGTTCCTGAGTGCTTGCATAGTCAATCAGCCCCTAGGGTTCCGTATATGCAGTGTGCTTTCTATAGGGCTGGTAATACAAAATCGAAGATTATCGGCATAGGTCATGTTGATGACCTCCAGCTAAAAACTACTTTATTTTATTATTCAAACATGCTTAAACCTCAAAAAAGAAGAAGTTAGAAAATGGTATACAAAATGACATTATGCAAATTGATATTGACATTATATTACTTACAATCAGTGCACTTACTAAGAAGCTGTTGTGAAAGATTTTGTGACAGTTGTCGCTTATCATTAAAACCTCCAACAATATGTAATTCTAGCCTGAAGAAAGAAATGTATACATGCTGATAAATATGGGCAAGGAAATAGCATTTTTCATTAAAGTATATGTGAATGCACTGCCAAAAAACAACATTTTATTAAAGAAAATAATGTGTCCATTCACAAGTGCAAAAAGTAAACGCTTATGACCTTTTTTCTTCTTTTATTTTGCAGTCACGTGGCTGTAGATCATTCTAGCTTCCTATTTCAGCCTAGGAGGAGGCATTTGGATTCTATGAGCCTGAGGGTGCTTGTGCTGTACACATAACAGGGAAGTACTTTCCACTGTGTATTTTGTTCCACAAGCACCCCCCTCCTGCATTCCACACTCCTATTAGCTTTTTGCCTGTTCAATGTGAACATCCAGCAACAAGCGACATGAGCTATCTGCCATGTGCTTCATTTTGGATACTGACGGGATGTCAGCTCCTTTTGGCTGTTTGCCACATTAAACGCAGTGGGGAATTACTTCCCTATTTGTGTATAATGTGGCACATTGTGCTCCACAAGCATGCCCTTCCTTCGATCCACACTCCTACTGGATGCACAGGGCAGGGGGGGGGCTTTCCTGGAACACTGAATACAGAGATACTACAGGCACTGTGCATAGGCAGAGCATCTCTGACAGAGACACGGAGATTAAAAATGACCGCACCATGTGGTCAGTTTGCAACAATGAAGAAGGGGGGCTGGCAGGATCAACCAGGTATTTCCGATGAATGGATTAAAAAGAGTAGAAGAGTACTATTTTAAAGTTATACATATTTAACCCCTTCATGACTGAGCTTGTTTTTCGTTTCTGTTCGTAAATGACTGACACACTTTTGACATTATTGCTGTGTGATTCTTCCACATCAGTAATATACTTTCTTACAAAGTGCAACCACACATTGTTTTTTAGAGGACAGATAGTGCTATATATTTATATCACATATGTGTACCTAATGCCTCACTTAGGACAAATAAAATATTTTTTTTAAAAGGAAAAAAACCAAAGAAAACACTATTTCCCCAGTTTTGATTTGTAGTATTTTTTTTTAGAAAAACAGCACAGCTAAAGAAAATGCAATAAATACACATTTATTTGGAAAAAACTCACATTCCTAGGATTTTAGAAATGTTTCTGTACTTCTCGGCCTAAAACTAAAACCTAACATTTTAATCTTTTTTCTCTAAAAGCGGTCACTTGGCATACAATGTCACTAAGTGTCACACTTAGCGACATACTTTGAACATCACTGTCATGAGGGGGTTAAAAATTGACCCCTCAGGGTGAAAAACAAATCTGTAGCTCAGCTTTCATTGTAAGGGGGTTAATTTTTATATAAATGATAGTATAAAAATATATTTAAATATATAATTTTTATTTGTTACATTAATTTGTTTTCTTTATTTACACTTTACTATTTTTTGCAAACATTTTTTACACTTATGTTATTTACTTATATCAAGCAGTCATTGTGAATTAATCTCACTATTACTGCTTGATAAATTAATACATTTTTGGTTATTATTAGGCTGCTTCAAACTTAAGAACAGCCAATAATAACAACCTTAGTGACACTTATCCTGCAGCATTTCAGGATCAGATGTCACTAAAGGTTTTCTGATCGTTCCAACAACGTTCAGAAACCTGCAACATTGTTTGAGCAATAAAAACATGTATCGAAATGTTTCGATTGCTGAAAGTTTAGAAAGAAAAAAAAAGCCAGTATACATCGGGATTTCCCTATCTATACCAGCTGTAAGTGAGAGCAGTAAATGTTCACACTGTCAGACACCCGATTCCTGAAATACCCAAAATAACTGTTTACAAAGCATGAACAGATAAAGTGCATATTGAGAGTCAACATGTGTGTAGCCAAAAAATTTTTTTTTCTTTTGGATAGAGTAGGGAAGGGTTCTCCTTGATGGGAAGTTTTCCCTTCACTTCTTGTGCTAGAGATGCAACAAGAAGTGAGAGGAAATATTTAGTCACCAAAATATTTGTTCACATTGTAAATGTTTCCCCCCAAATGTCCCCAGGACATAGAGGGGTGAATCGCCATAGCCAAAACACAGACAGCCATAACAAGTTGGCAGAGGGTGAAACCTTTCACCACTAGATCCAAAACTAAAAAAAAATGGCTTTTGACTTTCTTATTTTCTTGATTGTACAGTACAGGACACAGGCAAATTCAGAGACCACTGGGACATCAACAAATACAGCACTGAGACATTGGCAACACAAGAAAAAAAAACTGCCAACAGGCCCAAAACAGAGAAAGAGGGGAAAGAGGGGAAACTCCAACTCAGATAGCAGCCTCCAGCACCTAATGGCCAAAACTCGCATCAGCAGAGGCATGAACATCCACCTGGTAGAACTTGTAAACAGAAGACGCAGATGCCCGATGTCTAAAAGCGCAAAAGGCACGGACAGATGTAGCAGAATGAGCCCTTACAGGGAAAGGCAAAGTCTTACTCTTGACAGAGTAAACATGTATGATGACCTGTCTGATCCACCAAGTGGTGTAATAAGAGGCAGGGAAAGTCTCTGTACACACCAGGCAAAATACACCCTCTAGGTACAATGGTGCAACTTACAAGACGTGGACTTCCTGGCCTGAAAATGGGTGGGAATGACAGAGTCCCATGAACCTCTATCTCCTAGGACCCGGACTTCAACAGGAAGGCCATCAAAGCCAGTTGCAGAGAAGCAGGAGGAACCAATGGACCTGGAGAAAGAAGGTCCTCGCGGTCTGGAAGCAGCAATAGAGTCTGCCAGCATCCTGAGGATGTCCGCATGCTACACTTTTCTGGGCCAGTTTGAAGCCACCAGGACCATTGGAATGCCCTCCACCTCAATCTTGTGGAGGTGATGATAAAGAATCTTCAATAGAGGAAAAGCATAGATCAGGGAGAACTGAATGCATGAAGCTATCAGCGCATCCATTGTGAACACTATTTAATCCCTGGACTGGGATAGAAATCTGTCCAGTCTGGACATGGAGATCTACTTCGGGTGTCCCTCAGCAGCAACAGATCTGAAAGACATCAGGGTAAAGAGACCATTTCCTCAAAGCCAACTGTCTGCTTAGGAAATCCGCCTGCCCATTGATCACCCCCAGAATGTGCACAGCAGATGAGTAGAACTTCATGTTCCAGCACTATGACAAAATCAGAGCTGCTTGCTTTTGTACAGCACAGCTTCTGGTTAATCCTTAATGGGCTAACGCAAGCCATGGCGTGGTCAGACTGAACACTGGCAGGTAGCCCTGGAAAGAGACCCATTCAATGCACAAGGGAAAGGGGAATCACTCTCAATTCCAGATTGTTAATGGACAATTTGGATCCCCTAACCGACCACTAATGTCCCAAGAAAACCTGCCCAGCCTAACAAGTCTTGCATTCATTGTCAGGACTGTCCACTGAAGTGGAAGGAAATGGAAAACCACCACTCAAAGATTTTTGCTTTGGCTGACCGACGCATGGGGCGGTCTAGTAAAGGAGTCTCACACTGCCAAAATGCTCAGTTGTAGTAGTCTGGAGTGTAGTGGAACTGAGTGTATGGTACTTACTCAAAGCCTATCAGACCCAAGAACCTCATGGCAAATCTTACCGAGAGTTACTCCACCCTGGGTTGTGTCCAGAAGGAGCCCCAGGTACTCCAACAAAACCTTCTGGAAATTGGGGACCCAACCGAACAATTGGCAATGTCAGAATGGTTTTGTGGATATCCTCCCTCAGGGTGCGATTGAATCAAACCTTCAGAAGAAGGTCATCTAGGTAAGCCACAATGTGTACATCTAAAAAATGTAGGAGGGAAAGGATCGGAGTAAATGCCTTGGTAAAAACCCTTGGAGCCATGGACAGGCTGAAGGGCATAGCCACAAACTGAAAGTGATCATTCCCCAGTGCAAAATGCAGAAAGGGTTACATAGTTACATAGTATTTGAGGCTGAATAAAGACACAGGTCCATCAAGTTCAGCCTATTGCGTGTATGTATGTGATTCTGCATGTGTACGAGTCCCTGTGTGATTTTTTTTTCTTTTTTAAAGGGTACCTGTACCCCTGTATGTTGCGGTCTCTGAGGAAGTTTTTGGTTTGGGAACTATGAACAGATTAGAGTAGAACCCCTGAAACCAATCCTACTGAGGAATAGAAACAATGGCCCTTTCACATTTGAACACAAATATGCTTAAATTACAACTTACAAGTTACCTCTCAACTGAAAAGATAGAACTGTAGGCAGCTCCACTGCAAGGGTCAATTTGCATTCTATCCAATTCAACCATTTACAACAACTCCAGAGGAAGGCAAAAGAAAACCTCAGGAAACATTTGCTAGTTTTGCCAGAGAAGTTATAATACAGCTTACCTGCCTTCCGCAGAATTTAGCAGGGACTTTACAGCTTCTATAACAGATGCCACTTCATTCTCAGTGTCTGATCCATCACAGTGTGCTAAACAAATGGCTCCACTCCCTATAAAACAGCGTAAAAGACAATATGAGTGTAGAAATGCGTAATGAAGTTCAGGTAATCTAAAATACTGCTTGATAAAGCAGTAAAGAGCTTGCAAATGCAATTCCTGACAATAAATAGATTTAAGTAGGAAATAATATTTAAAAAATAAAAACTTGATCCTTCAAGACCTTCAGAAGTCAATTCCCAGCATTTTCTAAGTGTAAATTACCGATACTTTTTAGCTGAGTGGTCATGGACCTGCAGGTACCACCTGCAGATTGATTCGGAAGAGGAAATAAAAACTGTTGGAGAAAAAAGGTACAAGATGAAAAGGAAAAAGGAGTAATGAAAGAAGACAACCAGGATATATACTAAATTCACACAATTATGGGTAATTTCCCATTTCAAATACATTTCTTTTGGATTCCTGGTCTCCAAGTTAAAAATACAATACAGGTGAAACTCGATTAGAATATCGTGCAAAAGTTCATTTATTTCACTAATGCAACTTAAAAGGTGAAACTAATATATGAGATAGACTCATTACATGCAAAGCAAGATAGTTCAAGCCGTGATTTGTCATAATTGTGATGATTATGGCTTACAGCTCATGAAAACCCCAAATCCACAATCTCAGAAAATTAGAATATTACATGCAATCAATAAAACAAGGATTGTACATAGAACAATATCGGACCTCTGAAAAGTATAAGCATGCATATGTACTCAGTACTTGGTTTGGGCCCCTTTTGCAGCAATTACTGCCTCAATGCGGCGTGGCATGGAAGCTATCAGCCTGTGGCACTGCTGAGGTGTTATGGAAGACCAGGATGCTTCAATAGCGGCCTTCAGCTCTTCTGCATTGTTCGGTCTCATGTCTCTCATCTTTCTCTTGGCAATGCCCCATAGATTCTCTATGGGGTTCAGGTCAGGCGAGTTTGCTGGCCAATCAAGCACAGTAATCCCACGGTCATTGAACCAGGTTTTGGTGCTTTTGGCAGTGTGGGCAGGTGCCAAGTCCTGCTGGAAAATGAAGTCAGCATCCCCATAGAGCTTGTCTGCGGAAGGAAGCATGAAGTGCTCCAAAATCTCCTGGTAGACAGCTGCGTTGACCCTGGACTTAATGAAGCACAGTGGACCAACACCAGCAGATGACATGGCTCCCCAAATCAACACAGACTGTGGAAACTTCACACTGGACTTCAAGCATCTTGCAGTGTGTGCCTCTCCATTCTTCCTCCATACTCTGGGTCCTTGGTTTCCAAATGAGATGCAAAATTTGCTCTCATCAGAAAAGAGGACTTTGGACCACTGAGCAACAGACCAGGTCTGTTTTTCTTTAGCCCAGGTAAGACGCTTCTGACGTTGTTTGTTGTCCAGGAGTGGCTTGACAAGAGGAATACAACATTTGAAGCCCATGTCCAGGATCCATCTGTGTGTGGTGGCTCTTGATGCACTCCAGTGGACTGAGTCCAGCCTCAGTCCACTCTTTGTGAAAGTCCCCAACACTTTTGAATGGCCTTTTCCTGACAATCCTCTCCAGGCTGCGGTCATCCCTGCTGCTTGTGCACCTTTTTCTTCCACACTTTTCCCTTCCGCATAACTTTCTATTAATGTGCTTTGATACAGCACTTTGGGAACATCCAACTTCTTTTGCAATTACCTTTTGAGGCTTTCCCTCCTTATGGAGGGTGTCAATGATGGTTTTCTGCACAACTGTCAGGTCAGCAGTCTTTCCCATGATTGTGATTCCTACTGAACCAGACTGAGAGACCATTTAAAGGCTCAGGAACCCTTTGCAGGTGTTATGGCTTAATTAGCTGATTAGAGTGGGACACTTTGAGCCTAGAATATTGCACCTTTTCACAATATTCTAATTTTCTGAGATTGTGGATTTGGGGTTTTCATGAGCTGTAAGCCATAATCATCACAATTATGACAAATCACGGCTTGAACTATCTTGCTTTGCATGTAATGAGTCTATCTCATATCAGTTTCACCTTTTAAGTTGCATTAGTGAAATAAATGAACTTTTGCACGATATTCTAATTATTTGAGTTTCACCTGTATACTCCTATTTTCCTTAGCAAGTAAAAGTGATAATGTCCCCGAATTAGTGTGTCAGTACTTTCTACAATTTGCATCTCAAGAGAATCGGTAATTAAATCATAATACTCGAAATGGCACACTGTGTTGGTATTGGCATCCTGATATCAGAAAGATGGTCCCAGAAATATTCACATAACCATCTTGTCATTCTACCAATGTATTGTTTACAACATGGCACAGGATATAACAAACCGCATACAGTACCTAGTATGGCAAATTACTAACTGCTCAAATGAGTGACCATTAACAAATGAATGTACAATATGGGAATTGCCCAGATAGGAACAAAATGAACCTACACCAGAACATGGTCACTGTGTCAAGCCATGTATGCTGATTTTTGTTAGAATGAAACAACCTGGGGCGTGGCCTGAACATGGCGGCAAGTGGACGCTAATCCGCTGAGCTCTGCAGACCGGGGTGCCCTTTTCCAGTTGATCTGCTCTCTCTGACCCCGCTGCCCCATGAGGATGGGTAAACAAGCGAAAACCCCCCGTACCTTTACACGGCCGCGTTCGCAGGCCCGGATGGACGCCTTCGTCTCCCCACGACTGTCGGGGCCTAACACGCCCACCCAGACCGGGGCGCTCGAGTATGACTCACCGGCGATCAATGACGCGGCACACAGGCGGGCTCCTGACACTATCTCTGAGCCACCCTCCTCACCAGCATCCTCTATATCAGGCCATATGTCAGGGGTGCCCTCCCCACTGCGGATGACGGGCTCACCCGGGCCCAGTGTGATGGCCATAGCCGACAATACAGGGCTCCATGACTTGCTAGCAGCTCTCCCTACCCGCGCAGACATGCAGGTGATGATGGCCCAACTGACTGCCACACTACACACAGACCTGGCAGAGGTTTGCACGGATATACAGCAGCATGACAACCGCATATCTGCGTTAGAGGAGTCTGACCGCTCCCTTGCAGATAGGATGGCCAGCATTGAGGCCTCTCTAAAAGAACAGAAAGCCCACATGATTCATCTTCAATTGTGCCAGGAGGACTCAGAGAATCACAACCATCGCAACAATTTGCGGCTGCGGGGGATCCCGGAGGCTACCAGCTGCCCTGACCTCAGAGCGGCGGTTACTGCTATCTTCAATTCTCTGCTGGGTAAGCCCCCAACTGACCCGATCGAGATCGACAGGGTACACAGGACCCTGGGTCCGAGAGAGGCAGCAGAGGCGAGACCAAGAGACGTGCTATGCAGGATACATTTCTACGCGATCAAGGAGGAAATTCTACGCCCCCAGACATTGTATGCCCCCAGACATTGTACCGCCGCAGGCTCCTGAAACCCCTCACGGACTTACTACACTCCAAGGGGATACCCTATCGCTGGGGTTTTCCGTTCTCGATCCTGATTGGAAGGGGTGATCGCTTCTTCAGGCTACTACACCCTCGCCAAATGTCTGACTTGGCGGTTTTCCTTGATTGCCCGGATTTGTCGTTTCCGGACTGGCTGGAGATATCGGCCTCAGAGGGTCCTACGTCTAACACCACCGGCATCTCTAGACCGCAACGACGCCGCAAAAGTCGCCCTGGATCTATCTCTCGGGGAACCCAGAGGGGGCATCCGTCGGACCCTGAGAGTTGATTGGTCGGTGAGATACCACCAGCCTGGATGTGGGTCATAGGGTCCCTTTCTCTGCCACCATTGTCTTCCCGAACCCGGGCCTCCCCTACTGCAACTACAGGATTGAGTGGGAGCTGATTGTGAGACATCTCATACAGAGTATTGCAGGATGTCTGTGGTTTTTCTTTTTTATTGTTTTTTTCTATGTCACTAGCTTGACTGCTATTCCTGTGATAAACTTCTGGTTCAGGGTGCCCGCTTATTTCGACCTTACACTCCTGCGGACATCGACCAGTGGTCTAGCTCTCTATATGTTTTTGTGCCATTACCAGCCAGCTCTTCCTGGTGGATCTGCTGGACCGGGCGCGGGACGCTTGAACTGTTGGGGATAATTGAGCTGAGTGGGTACCACGAGTTGTTTCTGAATACGTGGGCACCCAGCCCCACATACTTGTTTGCATGTATATCCATGTGTATGCGAATCCCCAACTTGGTTGATATCTGGGTTATGGGGAAGGCATTGTGGCTTGGTGTGAGGGGGGGAGCCCTGATCTGTTGAGCCCTATGGTGGGTTCTGACTCGTTGACATATTGGCTCGGTGGCTCCCCGCACCAGACCGCGTCCTCTGTGGGTGGGTACGGTCTGGGGCCTGGGTATGCACATTCTGTTGGGCGCATGGTTGTTCCCCGTGCCCCCCCGTTGTTGCGGAGCCTCTGCCGTGTCCAGCCTACTGGACGGGGAAATCAGCTGGTTGTTGTTAGATGGCGTGCACATTCCGTGAGGTACTTGTTGCTGTACCACATAGGGGCAGTAATGCTATAGTTGTATTGGAGGGACTGGGGTGGGTGTGGAGTCGGAATCGCATTGTTTTATGGGTGATATACCCTCCCATGTCTGCATCTCTGATTACTGCTGTGTTCAGCCTCTTCCCCCAATTGCTGGGTGTTTCCTATCCGTGTTGGAGGTTAAACATAGGAACACCCCTGTCGTGTTTATGTTTAGTTCTCACTCGGTCAGGAAAATTCTCACCTTCGAGTGATCTCCACCTGGCGCCGCTTTCTCGAAGAGCGTATAAACAGCTCACTGCTGTTACACCTGCTGAACGCGGCTAGAGCCTGCATACCAGCTCTGTGGCGACAGACACGCTCTCCCTCCGTAATCATGTGGTGAGGCGGGTGGAGGAGATTAGACTGATGGAGGATTTGACCTCCAGTTTACGGGAATCGCAGTCCAGGTATGTGGCCACTTCAGGGGCTCGGCAGCTTTCTCTACAGTGTGCCAGGAAGGAGCCGGAGACTGAGGCGCTACCCAATTACACTACCCACTGTGTGGGGGTGTGTGGGCGCGGGGGGAGGGGCGGCTTGGGACCACCGGGGGGTGAGACCTCCGTCCACGCTTTCTTTCCCAATCTTTCTACGTTTCCTTCTGCTCTCTCTTTGCGAGTCCGTGTACGTAAATGTCTGTCTTGTCTGTGCTGTTTGAGGATGAACTGGCTCGGGCTGGCCTCCCACATAGTGGGGCTATACTCGGCCGCTCGCCTCGACACATTGTTCCCTTCTCATTTTGTTTTTGTGTGTTTGTTAGTCATTTATATTCACCATAAAATGCCTTAAGGGCGGGGACATGTGCGGTTACTTGACCTGATCTTACAACTTGTTAACATGTTTTAAATATGTTCCTCACTGTCTATGATTCAAATATCGTGTGAGACCATGTGGCCTCCGCTTGTCCTCCTTTTCTATTTACCCCACCCTTTTGTCCACAAATAAAGTATTTAAAAAAAAATGAAAAACTGGGAGACAGCATATTATCACCCTTGGGGACTGTATGCTTTTTTAACTCCACGTCATCTTTTGGAATCAGGATTAGAGTTTCCTACATTTAATTTGTTTAACCTCATTAAACTCTATAGTATAGCGAGCTCAAATGAGGATCACCTTCCCTGGATAAAAGGTAGTCCAGGCAGCAAAGTTCTTTAAAATCTGACGTGCAGTCAGTTTTATTTAAAAGGTTGCAATATCAAAACCAAATAAAACAGAAAATAAATCCTTGCCATCCAGGCTTTAACTAAACAAACAGTGCTCCTCTCTAACAGCTGGTGAGCTTCTCGCAGCCACCTCACAAATCAAAAGATTTTCCAGCAACCTTTTACTCACAAACTGCAGCTCTCTCAGAAGGCTCTCCGAGTCCCAGGCAAGAGTCCCTCATTCTCCAGCCTTCCCCTTTTATCTCACCTGGATAATTAAATCATTAATCAATCAAGGTGAGACAAAATCTGAACTGGATTACCCAGCCCCAAGGTCTACCCGAAAACCCAGTCTGGATTCAAGCTAGTCTTGTACATGAAAATTTGTGGGGAAATATATCGCCCCTCATGATTTCCCCTTTCCTAATGTAATGAGTTACAAAAGCTAACGATTAAGGGCCTGTTCATATGATTTTCAGGTCCAGATCAGGTGCGGATCTGCAGATGCGGTGCGATGTGTTTTTGATGCATTCCAGTAAAAAATTGCAGTGTGTTGATGTGTTTTGCATTTCTGGACCGTTTCCTGACCGGACAAAATTTGACATGCAGTATTTTTTTTTAACCTGAACGGACTGCGGACATGGTAGTATATTTTTTATATGTGCAGTGGCAGTATTTGTTTAATATGTGAAGGGGTAGTATTTTTTTAATATGAGCAGTGGCAGTATATTTTTTATATGTGCAGGGGTAGTATTTTTTTTAAATATGCGCAGGGGTAGTATTTTTTTTTGCACACCGCATGTAATGATATGTGATATGATTACATTTGGTTAGGGATCAGTCACTCTTCCTGGGTGCATCGATTGTGCAACCAGGGAGAGTGTTTTCCAACCGCATGTAATAATATCACATACAATTACATGCGATATGTAGGCGTTTACATGCAGCGGCTATCACCTGATCATTAACTTGAATAGGTGACAGCTGCCACTTGTAAACGGATAATAAAATTACATTTTATTTTGATGTACGAAATTTGGCAAGCCGTCTCCCATGGGAGAAAAAAATTGTCGAGTGGCTCGAGTCAAATGAGTTTGAGACGGTCAGTTGGTCTAGACAGTTGGTGGTAATAGGGGATTCTATAGTAAGGACGGAGAATAATTTGTCCCCCGGATAACCTCAGTTGATTGGTTTGCTGTCTCCCAGATGTCAGGGATCAGCGTAGTGAGTGTGAAAGAGGTCTTTGTTGATGGGGACTGTGATGGTGCTGAGGGTGGAGTTACATATGGGTGTGCATAATTATTCGGGTTAATGAGGTGAGAGACTGAGCTCCTTGGACAGATGGAAACTGCTGCAAGGGACAGTGGTAATATTGACTGGCAAAATAGCACTGCTGGAACAGTAAAAGGGTGGACATTTTTTAATTTATGACAAGACAATGTTAAGGTACAGTTTATAGAATCCCTAACTAGAAATGATGCTCTGCTGGACCTGTTACTCTCAAACAATGTGGGGCTAATTACAAATCTTCATATAAAAGAAAATCTGTGTATTAGTGACCATACTATGAATTAATTTAACGTTGTAAACAATGAGCACATCCTGGAAGCATTTTTCCAATGCTGAGCGCTGTTCTTCAAGACTTGGACTGGGAGGGAATATTGTCATAAAAACACAGAACAAGATTGGGGATGTTTCAAATCAACTGTGTGCAAACACACTGCAAAATATATTTATGTGGGCAATATATAAAAAGCTAAAACATAACGTATGTGGTTTCACAGCTTCTAATAAACCACATTGGCTCAAAATTGATATAGTCTAGAAACAGTTAAGACAAAATTAACCAGTTGACATCCGCGGTGTTAAACCCCCTTCCCATCCAGGCCATTTTTCAGTATTCAGCACTGCGGTATTTTGACTGACATTTATTCCGTCATGCAGCGCTGTACTGAAATGAATTTTATACCCTTTTTTGGGGACAGATAGAGCTTTCTTTTGGTGGTATTTATTTACCACTGGGGTTTTTATTTTTTTACTATATTAAGGAAAAATTACCGAAATTTAAAAAAAAAACAGTTTCCCCTATATTAAATGATAAAACATTTATTATTACCCAATTTTTTGGTAAAATATAAAAGATGGGGTCACGTCTCTGCTTCATCAGCTTCTTTTCTCTGGCCATAGCAGCCAGATGACTGACAGG